CCCTTTTGTCTATCATCACATGGTCAATTTGATTGGTTGTGGTTCCATCTGGTGAGATCCACGTCATTTTGTGTATGTCTTTATGTGGGAAGCATGTGGAGCTTATAACCATGTTTTTACTGGTGGCAAAATTTATCAAAAACTCCCCATTCTCGCTTGTTTCATTGTGCAGTGAGTGTTTTCCTGTTGTGCCATAGAACTGCGGTTCCTTGCCTATTTTGGCATTCATATCACCCATTATAACCTTAATGTCATTTTTTGGCGCGTTGTCATATACTATCTCCAGCTGTTGGTAGAAGCTTTCCTTTGTATGTTGCTCTTGTTCATCTGTTGGGCAGTAGATGTTTATCATAGTAAGGTTGAAGAAGTGGGTGCGAATTCTTAGTTTGCATATCCTTTCATTCACTGCCTGGAAGTCTATGATTTTTGACTTAAAATCATAGACTTCCAGGCAGTGAATGAAAGAGCAGCTTGCTCTCTTGGCTGTGCAGCATCTTATGCATTTGTTATTCTGTTGTTGATGATTTTTGTAAATATCTTGTATATGATTGGTAGTACACTTTGTACGTCTGTGGTTTTTGATATCCTCGTTCCTACCTTTTTTATGAGTGAGAATTATGTTTGCTGTAGTCCAGTAATCTGGTATGCATCTTGATATTAGGCAGTTTGTAAATATGCCTGCTAAGATTCTAAGGTTTTTTTGCCAGTAAATTTAACACTTTGACTCCTATGTGTATCATATATAATACACAACAAGTACTCTCCCTGAACCTATGTGTATGAATTTGATACACAAGAGTAGAACGTATTCAAGCGACTGTGTATGTGGTCCGAACGCAGTTGTAATGTATTTATACATTATCATTCCTTTATCATGTATTATCATTCCTTTAGGCTGTGGTAACCAATTTTCAATGTTAGTTCGGTAATCCTAGCATACTAAAATCGGCAACATTGTAGATAAAATTTGGAGACACAAAATCGTCGAGTGGCATACCAGTTTTACTGTTAGACATTTATTGTAGTCAGGTTTGTTTATGTACAATGTCTAAAAATAACAAGAGATACCTTCCTTTACACGAACTTGAGCATCTGGCTGAAAATCTTAGCGAAATAAGTGATTGTGAATTTGATGACTCAGATTCGATCCATTATACACTGATATTTTCGATAGCAGTGAATAGGTACTCTACAGATTGTGAAACACAAACAAAACGGCAGAAGGTGGAAACATTTAAGATAAGTTTGTAGTTACGTATAAATTTCAAATGTTATATCTAATTTTGAAATATTTTAGGATGATAATGTTACAAGTCAACCTAGAATTCAAGATGAACAGTTAAATTTGTAAATAAGCGAAAGTGAATTTGAAATTGAAGATCTAAATAATATAGATATGGTAAATCCTCATATAGGGAATTTACAAACAAATGTTATATGGAACAATGTTGATGGAAATTTGAATACATTCGACGTTATACATGAAAATATTTTATAGACTACTCCTAACAGACGAGATACTCGATATTTTAGTGCAGAAAACAAATCGATATGCCGAACAAAAAATTATTGATGCTATAAGTCGTGAAAACGTTAAGACAAATTCATATCTCACTAACTGGAATGATATTAACAGAGAAAAAATAATAAAATTTCTGGGAATTTTGATATGGATGGGTTTGAATACAAAACCACGACTACGAGATTACTGGAGCACTAATTTTATCCATCATTGCTCAATTTACAAGACGACAAACATGTCGAGGTGTAGATTTGAGGCTCTTCTTGCTTGCTTCTATTTTACAGATAATGAAGCTTGTCCTGAAGGAAGCAGATTGTTCGAAGTTGAACCATTGTTGCAGGCGTTGAATAGACGTTGTCAATCTGCTTTGGTACCAGGCAAATACGTTTGCATTGATGAATCGATGATTCCCTTTAGAGGACATTTGTCATTTTTACAGTATCTACCTGCAAACGTAATAAATAGTGAGCAAAAGTTTTCAACTCTGCGGAAAAGGCGGCTACACATATCACGCAAAAATTTATGGCGGAAAGCAAAAAAGACCACAGGAACAATCACTAACATTCCTAGTGGTCATGAAATGAATGCAACCTTCTCTACACTCAGGAAGAACTTTGGTTACAGACAATTTTTACACTAGTGTCAATTTGGCACACGAACTAAATGATAACAATATTCATCTAATTGGAACACTTCGTAAAAATAGGAAATACAATCCTAAGTCAGTGTTTGAAGCAAAGCTAAATAAGGGAGATATGATGGCGCTACAGAGCAACACAAAAGTTATTGTAGAAAAATGGATCGACAAGAGAGGTAACATTTTTGACTACAAAATCTTGTCCAGAAATAGTCGACGTTCGTACAATATCAGGAATAAAAAGAAAACCGTCTACAATAGTAGAATATAATTCTGTTAAATCTTACATTGACGTCTCTGATCAAAAAGCTTCCTACAGTAATCCCATCAGACGTTCTATAAAATGGTACCGGAAACTGGGAGTAGTTCTTTTAGTTTGTAGTCTTTAGTTCTGTACAACAAAACTTTGAACAAAAAAATGGATGTAACACAATTTCGCAAAGAATTAGTGACTGCCATTTGCAAAGACAATAATGTTACAAACCCTCAACAAACACACCATACACTGGAAGAATATGACAAAAGAAGACGATGTGTTATATGTTACACCACACTGGCAAAATCCTTTGGTCGCGCACATGCATCTAAGAATTCCAAACAGTGCAACACTAGGTGTACTGGCACTGAATGTAGAGAAAAAAAATTATTTGTAACATTTGTGTTTTTAAAGCACATAATGTATATTTAAAATAATTTGTTTAGATGTTTGCTTATGTTTTTTCGTAATAAAGTTTCATAAATAATGTGTATCAATTTCAATGCATATAGGCTATGGGTAATGACATTATGAAAAGTCGTCTAGGTGAACTGCGTGTATCAAAAATAAACACACCCTACAAAGCCCTTTTTAAATAAAAAAAATGTCATTATATAAATTAAGTCATACATATAGAGCATTTTATTAAAGAACATGAAAAAAAAAGTGGTCAGGCTGTGACAACTTATGCAGATAAATAATCCCAGGAGTTAAAGTGTTAAGCAGTTCTACTGTTATGCCATTTTTGTAATTCTACTTCTTCCATAAGGACTATGCCTGCTAACATCCTACGGTTTTTTTGCCAGTACTTATATTTAAGCAGTTCCACTGTTATGCCATCTACTCCAGCTGCTTTACCACTGTTCATTTTTGTAATACCACTTCTTCAGGAAGACTTTTGGTACATCTTCTTACTTACTGATTGCTTCAAGTGTTTCACAGGGGATTTATATAGTTCGCTGTAGAATTTAGTCAGGAGTTGTATTACTTCATTTCAGTCTTTAATTCTTGTGGTTTCGTGTATTAGAGTGATTTGCTTCTTCCCAATGATTAATGCTTTTCATGTCTTCTTATACTTTTGTATTGTTTTTTCTGTATGTTGCTACTTACTTTCATTTCCCATCTTTGTTTTAGCATTATTTTGGTTTTATCAGACAATTCACTGTTCATTTTGTTATTGCGGACTTCTGATTTACTTAGCACTATAAAGGTGATGGTTTTCTTTCAGATTGTTAGTATTTATACCGGATACTATTGTTTTTGTGATTAATTGCATTCTTTCTAGTTTCAGATCTAGAACAATTTTTGTTCTGATTAGTCTATGGTCACTGCCTGTTTGAAATTTATTTATTACACTGACATATTTTATTGTAACAATTTTGTTTGTTAAAATGAAGTCAATTTCGTTCTTAGTGATTCCATTTGGTACTATCCAAGTGCATTTTCTGTTTGATTTTTTTCTTAAAGAATGTATTTTTTCTTCTTTTTCATGTGCCATCTCCTCTAAGAAGGTTGGCAACAATCATGGCAATTTGCACTTTCGATACCGCTGCCCTAAAGAGGTCAGCAGAGTGCAGTTAAACAAAGCTCTCAAATTGTTTAACCAGGAGATGCGTCTTCTTCCGCGACTCCTACCCTGTATTCTTCCTTGCATTATTAATTGCAATAAGTTATAACGCTCACCTTATGAGAGGACAAAAGTACACATTCCTACAAAATATAATGCAAGGAAAAATCCGACGCAAAAATCCAGGCCATAGAAGAATGTCCTGGATGAGGAATTAAAGAGAGTGGTTTGGCTGTACCACTAATGAATTATTCAAAACAGCAGTAAACAAAATTAGTATTGCCATAATGATATCCAATCTCCGATAGGAGAGGCACTCAAAGAAGAAGATAACGCTCACCCCTCATGACATGTCCCAGATATTGCAGTTTTGGTAGTGTTCAAACTGAACCAGTCTTTCACCTCTTTTAATTCTCTCACTGACTCCATACTTTCCCACTTTGGCATTAAAGTCACCAATTAAATACTTGAAGTGATATTTATTGTTATTTAATACTTTATTTGTTACTGTAGAGTTCCTCTATTTCTTTGTCAGTGTAGAGAGGTGAAATCAGATAATTTATGAGATACATTGCATATATCCATAATTATTTTTTAAAGTTTCTGCCTATGACTGACATTCCCATGTTTTTATCTATCTTTTATGCACTTTTCATATGGTACATGTATCTGACCAGTTATTTATTCAAAACATTTTTGCTCTAATACATTACTGTATCATTCATCCTTTGTTCTTTTATCTATCTTTATTTTTTATTATTTTAGAACCTTAAAAAGTATTTCAACTACAATTTTAAGTATTTCTTTAGATTGTTTTGCTGTAATTGGCTAATAAATATAAATACCTACCTCTCTAGTAAGCAAAAATAAAACAAAAAATCTATAAGAAAAAGGTTTGTATTCTAAGTGTTTTCATTACAAAATAAGAGTCCAAAAACACAAATGGTCGTATTCTTACAGAGCAGGTTTTAACTTCAGTTGATATGAAATAAAAACTATATTAAAATTAACTTATGTAATTATTTAAAACTAGTTTAATTTAGCAAATAAGAAAATACAAGAACAATACACTGTGATTATTTAAATGGAAAGAAACCGATGGAAGAATCCACCAGTCTGTTGTTGGTATACTTCAATTGTGTCACCTTCGTCCATCTCTAAAGAATTTGGAGTATCTGTGTCATTTATTGGGTTTCCATCAAATCTAAATCTGACTACTTGTGTGCTAATACCCTGAAATAGAAATTTTCTGTATAAGTAAAAGTTTTCTTTAAATGCCCATGAGCATATTTTATAAACAAAGCATTAAATAATAAAGATTTTATTTATAACCTACAAGAACACAGTGTGTGTTTCACTTGAGGCTGACACACATAGTGTGTGATGGATTAATCTAAAGGTACTAACTTGCTCATTTCTAATTTAAAAATTAGTAGCATTGGGTTAGCAGCTGAATATTAAAAGTCAAAGTGTACTCTTATCGACTATATCACTTTGTTAGATTTATTCAAACATCTTCAGATGAAAGTTGTGTGAGGTTGCAGCAAAAAGTTGTAAAAAATAGTCTCCAAGTGTTCATTGTACTGAATAGAAAAAATGGACAAAAATGCTGTGAAAAACTTTTTTAAAATTATACATCCAGGATGTATAACATACATCCTTTAACATACATTTATGAACAAATAATTATTAATACCTTCACTGTGCCACCAGTTGAAAAAGACTGGTAACTACTAACTAAACGAAATGTGTTGGTAAAAACACAACATTATAGGTATATTATTATCTGAAAGAGATCTATCTAATAGAGGGATAATTTAGTACCAGTTGTATTCAAGTGGTAATGCATACAAGTTATTTATTTTTCATTGTTAGATTCCCAGATGAATTCATCTGGTGAGCAATTTCATTTGTAATTACCAGTTTAGTTTAGTTATCTCAGTTGAGCTATAATAATGTTTAAAATATTAGTGTATAAGAATTGAGGAAAATAAATGTGTTCCCATGTTAAATATGAAATTCCTTGTGCAGACTGCCCCTGAACCTACATAGGCCAAAAAAACTGTAGAATCCACCTTCATAGAGGTCACAAAATTGATCCCCCATCTGCTTCTATAAACCAAGAATTATCCAAGAAGCCATAGAAAAGGAAAAAAAGAGACCAATTTGTCTCAATAAAAAAGATGACAGCATACAGTTAACTTAGAAATGGAGACATCATAGAGAAAATATCGTCTGCCCCCCCTGTTAAATCAAAATCCTACTGTCAGAAATGTTCTCATCAACCCCTGTGCCAATCCCCAAGCCAACCTCCACTCAAATCACGTCACCATTGATGGTATAAATGAACTATGTTCCCAGTAGTAGTAATGCATTGGTTAGTGATTAATGTAGTAGTGTCTGGGGGTCAGGAGAATTTTCCTGAAGAAGTCTGTTCATTGAGTAATAAATTCCATTTCCAGAAAAGTCTTGTTGTGATAGTTTCTTTTATTTCCTAAATTCTTTACATACTCAAAATCCATATTAGGGCCCTCATTAACATGTGGACCTAACGAGCACCTGTCTATATAAGCTAGTAACTTTTATGAGATCTAATACAATCTTTTACACACCTAATGGTTTTACCAATTGCCATAATCACTACTGGTATACTGTAAACTATATCAAACAGCTCCTTTGGTAACCTATCCTTCATCCTTGAAAATAGGTTATTAATAGTTAACACTCTTCTATTAGCTATTTTGAGGTTTAATTGTTTTTTTACAATTCATGTGAGCTGTGGCATAATCTCTCTAAGGAATGGTAAAGAGATTAATGCAACTACCTCTGGAATATCACTATTATCATTGTTTCTTGTATTATCATTTTGAATTGTTATTTACAATAGCTGTTTTGCTATATGGAGTATTAAATAATACGTGTTTTAACATTACAGGGGGATAAGAACTGCCTAGAAATAGGTTATATAGTTTTTTTTTAGATTATTTTGGCGCATAAACATAACACAAAGATAGACTGATCGTTGCAATACCAGCCATTCCCCAGTACAACATAGAAAACTGACACTCTCTTTCTAATTGGCTAGGTTTATTGACCATGTGCCCTAAATGACCAAGGACAAGGTCACATTGTCGATAAACCCAGCCTATTAGACAGAGTTGCAGGAACTGCTTTGCATCAGTTTTCTGCGGCACTGGGGGCAACACTACTATTGCAACAGTCAGTCTATCTTATATTATATGTCTACTAGCATTTGGCCCAATTCTAGAATGTATGATGTTCTACTAAAATGCTTTTATTTTGTCACAACAAAAATATTCCATGCAGATTTATTTTGATAATATGAATTAATATAAAAAATGTAAAATAAAACGTTTGGAGAGGCATAAAATGGTACATTATAAATAAATAAGCTACAGTATCGTGATGGCCACTTAGTAATAAACAGACTTCTGTCTTATAGTCATTTCTTCGCGAGTGGTAACAACTAAAAACTGATTGATTTTTTCTATAATATATTAATTATATCCACTTTTCTTTATTATGTCACATGTTAGAATTCAATCAGTTGTTTATTATAGCCAGAGGCCTTTTTTAAGTCAATAAATTCATTTTGTGTATTAAAGGAGGATAAATAAATAAATAATCAAATCCCCATTCATTTAAAGCATCACACACTCCAATTAGGACCAATAATAACTGAGATATAATGTAATTCCAGCGCTGGGGTTTTCATTACGGACAGACAGACAGAATAAGCAAATTATTAATATTGATGGTTTGGTGGAATTATTCATTAGCAATTCATTCGACCCTAGTTTGCGTTTGTTTTGCCAAATTAACCTTCATTGACTGTTAATGGTAAGACCAATAATTAATTCATGTATCTACTCAAGCTTACTGGCTTCCTATGCCAATCAACTAAGATAGTATTATTTGCTGTGCAGAGTAAATGTCTAAAAAAGAAGGTTGTTAACTATTAATAACATATTTTCAAGATGAAAGATGGATCACCAAATGAGCTGCTGTCTGATGTAGTTTACTGTATACCTTATATTGATTGTGGCAAGCAATACATTGGCCAAGCCACTAGATGTGTAAAAGATTGTATTACATCTCATAAAAATGACTGTAGAATATATTCATATTGATTGATTCAATGAAGGCCATATCATGGATGAGTCTGTAAAGGCCTTAACAAATGAAAAGAACTATCACAAAAGGACTTTTTTGGAAATGGCATTTATTTCTTAGAATTCTTCTTTGTCAACCATTTTCCATCCACTCCTGAATGTAGGTCTCTCCCAATTGCTTCCATCTTTCTCTATCTTGCGCCAATCTAATCCACTGTTTGCCTGCCACTGCTCTTATGTTCACAATTAACAAACAACTACTAAAAGAACATATATGAAGCAATTAACAGAGAACTAATCAACCCTTTTTGAAACTGACAAAAAACTTTAATGGCAATAAAGATTTTGGTTTATATACTACCTCAAAATAATGTCTGTAGGTTTAATTAAACAAAGAACAATATTCATGAATAATGGGGGTGTATACTCATTAATTTTGATTAACTTTCTATTTGTAAATACCAATTTATAAATGACTGAAAAATTTAAAAGATAAGCATTTAAACAGTTATTTTAATTGAGGTAGTTTTATTTTAAGTGCAAATGAATAAGTTTTGACTCTTATTATACAATTAATATTCGCTATGAGCTTGTGTGTTTGATTGTATAGTAACTGCCAGTGGAAGTCAAAATTTTGTCCAACAGCAAAAAATGAATTACTAAATTTACTAGACAATGGGATTGGATTCAGTAAACATAGTGGGACAATTTTCACATTTGGTCCCATTGAAGATTTTTGGCAATTGCCCTTTGATACGTTAGTGGATAGATTTGGCAATAGAGTCAGAACCCTCAAACCACCAACTGCCAGATTGCAGCAGATGCCTTTTAAAATTTATTATTTATACTGACATTTTACTATTTACTGTTTTTAAGTTTTTAAATATCATATTGTTTTTAATTGCGTATGTTTCATTTGTAATGTAAATTTCAACACTGCCAAACACCAATATTTCATTCTGTCGCATCCATTTGAGGCTATCTTCAATGGGACCAAATGTGAAAAATGTCAAACATAGTGTACTACTCCTTATTAATTTCTGAAATAAACTATGCAACAACAAAAATAAGTATACTATTTTTGTACAACTGTCAAGAAATGACAAATTAACTGGAATTGGAGATAGTAGTATAATTTTTATTAAGTCACGTATACTCCATTTTTAATAGTTTTGCTAGTTGTTTTTGTTTTCTCTCTTATAATTACAAATATTTACTAAATATCACAACAGTTTGAATGTTAAGGTGAAGAAGAAATGATGTAAAAAAATGAGTGGCTAGAGTAAGTAACAGTGACCACAGAAAACGGAAAAGCTGAAGAAGACTAAATATCAAAACTAGTCATACAATCTTTTGATTAACCTAATGGGGACCCTTGATAAACAACTTTAGCTGCTAGCATTACAAAAGCTTCTTTCCTGTCTATCCTAGCTTTGAAAAATTATCACAAATATTTTCCTTGTTTAGTTTTAGAAGATTTAATTGCTTATTTCAATCTGCTTATTGTCTGCCTATTGCCATTGGTAAATAAATGTAGATGACTCAACATTTTTAATATACATAGGTATATTGCAAACTTGTATCTAAATGTCAATTACGAAAAATACCATTATTACAGAAAAATAGATGCAACATGTAGTTACTAATATGCATCTTAAACAACGCGTTACCGTTATCAATTACTAACTATAAAAACAAGAGGTACTTACAGCACGTTCACAATAGGCAGTCATCAATTTCTTTAAAGGGGTATGTTTTTTGATTTTAAATTGTACAACAGCATTATCCTGACCAAGTACTTTGAGATTGATGTGCTCGCTATCACTGGCCTACAATAAAAATTGTTAAGATAAGAAAAATGTTACATGCATCTCACTGACGACATTGTAAACTATTAAACAAGAAACATACCTTTTTTTCATCACCCATCTTGTTGGAATTTGAAAAGTAGCTACAGTTAAATAACTACAAGTAAAAGCTACACGCTTTGTAGGCTTTTGATGCCGGTAGATTCACAACAATTTTACAAACCAACGCCGAATCTTTCACCGCTTGCAAATAATGGCCGGCAGTCAGTGTGAATAGAACAGAACACTAGAAAAAGCGGCAAAGCAAGACGAAAGATCAACTGTCAAACATGGAGGTCACATCCTGTTAAAGTCTAATGTGCAATAGTCCTTCTTCCATACATTCTGAATAGTCATTGGCTAATACGTTACAGATGACATTTGGGAAGTAAATAACCAATCGCGTCTTGTTTAAATCATAGGAAAAGGCAAGCATTTGTCTGATTGGTTGTAGACCTGCAGACATTATTTTCAAACTATTTATGGAATTAACGGTTATTTTATGGATTCTATAACTTACAAAAAACACTGTTTTCAAATCCCATAAAAATCAGCTTCCCAAAAGATTAATTATCATCTTAATATATTATGTTCACTCGTTTATTCAATCAACGGTTCACTTCATTTGAACGGAACCATTTGTCGCCATAAACTTTTAATCATACTGTTTTTTGTTTGTTTGAAGCCCGTTTTATTCACAAATAATTTCTGGTCAAATATCTAAAAGGAAAGAGCCTTCACATTTATTTTTTTTCCATCTTTTCTTATGAGGAAATATATTCAAAAATTCAAAAGGTTTTAACAAAAATGTCTATCTTGAAAAATCGAATTTGGCTTTCATTCCTTGGACTATTTCGATTTTAACTGTCCCATGCTCATCGAGCAATAAGACAAAAGAGGGAATCTAATCGTTATGAAAAGGAGACCAAAAAAGTGGCCTCTGATGGCGGGCATATCCGGAAATGCAAAGGCGCTAAATTTAAATTTTCCAACACTTGTTAACAATACCTGTAAAATATTTTTCAGACAAGAAAGTTTTAATTAAATATTAACGATAATAGTCTAAAAAGTGACACAATTGGTAAAAAACTTCAATATTAATAAAATTTCATGTGACAGTTGGGACAAACAATAACATAACCAAACTAAATTTGACTTCTTAAACAAGGAAAGAGACAGTCTATCCTTGTCTAAAGTGGCCTCTCAAGATGGCACTTCCTGTCTATCAATATGTTTACCCCTTCTACCTTTACATTCCCTCTTTTGTCTTATTGCTCGATGCCCATGCTTCTCCCACTCTTGTGGTAATACGCGAATCGAATGACGCGAATTGCACAAGGTTTGCCAATCAGTTTGTGACTTCTCCGAATCAGTTTACCAGTTCAGTTTTCACCTTCACTACTTTCAGTAATAACTAATAACTAATAAGTTGGTAACAAATGTAACGTGTAAATATTAGGTTATATTTTTAGTAAATTTAAAAATTTCGATTAATCAATCAATGAAAAATATTTAGTGTGTTTATAATGAAGTATCCAAAAATGAATAAAGAACTTTTGCCTATGAAGGCACATTATTTTTTATGGAATGCTGGTAAGTAAATATTTTGTAAATAATCCTTGTGTGTACAAAAAATCTACATTTATTATATAAACGTCAGTGCATAAAAATTTATGATTGTCAATTATTAACAGTATACAGAATAATTTGTCATTAAAGGATCTTAAACAGAAGTTATAACTTATTATTATTTATTAATTTATAAAGAATGAACAATATATCAAATCCTATAATATATATGTAACCAAACATTTTATACCAATATAATTTTCTCTAATCTCATTATGTTTTGATATATCATATTAATATTTCCAAAAACAAAAACAAGTCTACACAAAAAGAAAACTCTTTACTATTACTTGCTGTTACTATTGTTTACCTCAAAACTGAAGTCACCTTGAGATCCATGTTTAGTATTTAGTGTAAAAACACTCTCATAATCATCTATGACACCCTTTTAACTCTATTAGGGTTTGCAATATTGAACAGAATGTTTTATTTGTTTGTAGTTCAAGTTCTTCTTCTTCTAATGGCGCTATAACCCTTTATGGGCCTTAGCCTGCTTAACAATGTTCTTCCATTTCACCCTTTCAGATACTTTGCTTTGCCAATGTCTGATGATCATAGGTTTGAGATATTCCTCTAATACTTTAATACATATAATTACTTACTCAATCAAAAACATAAATCTAATTATATTTTACTGATTTACCAACTGTATTGACTGAATATTTACGTAATATAAATTTGAGAAATTCTTAGGGTTTAAATGTACCTTCAAACATTCTCAGAAGGCACATTTATAAACCATTATGTACTCACGGTCCGATAACTCCCATATGTGTTTTCTAAAAATCAGAATTTTGATACTCATATTTCTCACAAATGTTAAATGTTAGTTTAGTTTATTTTGAGCTGTTAATGTGTAATCATATAGTCAACATTTACTCTAGTAAAGATGTGGTAATTTACAAATCAAGACTAGTGTTCAATATGAAATATAGTTTTAAGGTTGGCCAATATTAGAGGAGATAGTGAATCTACTATTTATAGGCTTCTTAGGAACATTTGCCAGGTTGTTAATGTTGGAGTCTCCTTTTAGTTGCTACAATGGCCTAACAGGCTGTTACACTCATTTAGATGTGAGCACTTTAATTTGTTCATAATGCCAGCTGTGTGTAAGCCAGAAAAATAAATTTTTTAAATGTATTAGTTCAAATCTTTGACTTTTAATTGGAATTCGTCAGCGAATCTATATAGTGATGACTAATAGGTAAGGTAAGAGTAAGTGATTTACAGCTCAGTGAAGAGCTTTATTGAGTCCAACGGGAAGGCATTAAATATGCTAGAAAAACTAAAAATCTCCTAAAAAGTCAACTGGATAACAATCACTGGACATTGATGAATCTTCTTCTTCTAATGGCACTGCAACCCTGTGTGGGTCTTGGTCTGCTTAACAATGTTTGTCCATTCTGCCCTGTCAGATGTTTTCCTTCGCCACTGCCTGATGTTCACAGTTTTAAGATTTTTCTGTTGTACTCATATATTTACCTTTTACATGGCCTTCCTCTTGGGGTTTCCATGGTTGTATTACTTGATTATTTGACATTCTTTCTAAGCGGTCAAGCCAGTTTAGTCTTTGTGACTTTACAAATCAAACAATATCTGCACTCTGCATTAATTTATCCAGCTCATAGTTCATATTTATTCTACATGAACCATTGCTACAATGGGTTGGTCCAAATATCTTCCTAATATTTTTCATTCAAATATTCTCAATTGATTTTCTCACAATTCAGTAGCTTACTTTTCATTGAGTCTTTGTATGCTTAAAAGCACTTACTACCACTAAGAAGTTTATATGACGGAGCTGTATAAAAAGGAGCTGTATACTACAGGTCTTATTAGGTGATCCGGTTTGTGTAGTTTAATGAAAGAGTATAATTTAGGAGGTTGTGGGTTCATGATATTGAGGTATTTCTGTTCTCAACATACTCATGTTCTCATACCTCAATACCATGAACCCACAGCCTCCTAAATTATACTCTTTCATTAAACTACACAAACCGGATCATCCAATAAGACCTGTAGTTTCTTTTTATACAGCTCCTTCATATAAACTTTCAAAAAAGCTGTTAGAGATTATTTTAGAACACTAAATTTTCACCTAAATTTACCATAAAAAATACAATAGAACTAGTTAATAAAATACATTTTCAATTACCTAACAACTCCAGATTAATTTCATTTGACGTAAAAAATCTTTTTCCTAGTATCCCTCCTACAGAAACTTTTATTCTAGTAAAAAACCTTTTAGACCAAAATAGTACAAATCCAATAATTACATCTGAAATTTTACATCTTCTTAAAGTTTGCATAAACCAGGACTACTTTGAATTTAATAATAAAATATATACAAATATCAGTGCAGAACTTATAATGGGTAATCCTCTAAGCCCATTGCTATCAGATATTTTTATGGATCATCTAGAGACAAAGATTTCAAAACATCCCGTATTCAAACAGTTTTTATATTGGTGAAGATACGTAGACGACGTACTGGTATGTTTCACAGGAACTAACAGGCAACTCGACCAATTTTTATCGTACATTAATTCACTTCATAGTCATATTGAATTTACAATAGAAACAGAACAAAATCAATCCATAAATTTCTTAGATTTAAAAATTAGCAGACTTCAAAACAAACATGACTTCTCCATATTTCATAAACCTACCCATACTGACACGACTATACACAATTCATCATCCCATCCAACACAACATAAACTGGCAGCTTATCATAGTATGTTACATAGATTAACAGAAATTCCAATGTCAAAATACAACTTTGAGACAGAATTAAATATAATTAAGCAAATAGCAGTAAACAACGGATACAACGAACAAACAATTAATAAAATGTTAAATCAAAAACTACACAAGAAAGCCCTGAAATTAGTTATTCCACCACCAGAAAAAAAACCCAGTACCTTCTGCTCGATTACATATACAGGCAAAATAACAACAAAAATTGCCAAACATATAAAAAAGAAAGGAATAACACCAGCTTTCCGAACAAATAACAACCTAGGCAAATATATTAAAAATAACAAGAGCCAAAATAAAAAACACTTAAATAGTGGTGTGTACAAACTTCAATGTGGCGACTGTCCCAAAAACTTACATCGGTCAAACTGGTAGAAACTTTGATAAACAAATAGCAGAACATAAAGGGCTTTCAAGAATAGAAAAACAGATTTGACATACGCACTTCACCTTCTAGATCATAATCATTCTTTTAATGAAAAATTTAAAATTCTTCACATTCAAAATAAAGGCCTTAAGCTATCTTTGTTAGAATCTATGGAAATCAACAAATTAAAAAACACAGATATAATTCTGAATGACCAACTTGAGACAAACAGTTCTCCCCTCCTCAACCTATTTCATTAGAGACTATAAATTTGTAAACCCAAGCCAAAAATAGATCACTTGAGAAAGGCAATCAGCCGAAACAGCTGTAGTGATAAGATTTAAATAAATTTTGTGGAAGTTTGAAAACAAAGTTTTCAGTGTTTCATTTATATATGTTTAACCAACTTTTTCGATATTCCTAACATGGATAGTTGTTTTAACATTTTTTGTCTATCTACATCATCAAATTCCTGTTTGAAATCAATACACAAGTTTTGAATTGGTATGTTATATTCAGCACATTTTTCAAGTATACCTCTTAACATATCGCACCCTTAGTGCAAGACTGCAGTAAGTCAGAATACATAAGTTTTGAGATAAAAACGATTTTGTTTATTTTCGTGCTAATATCTGTGAAATAAGACACAATTTTTAAGAAAAATTAACATTTAATTATAATTTTGCATGCTTTTAGCCCATATTACCTTAATCAAAAATAGAAATTTAAATAAAATAATATTAATGCTAAAAAAATTAGGAATTTCAAAGATAAAAAACTTTTGCATGAAGAAAATTGTTAATCATTACACATTTAGTATTAGAATTTTAAAGATACAACACTTTTGCACGGAGAAAATTGTAAAAAGTGTAGACACATTTTCTGTTAGTAAAACTGTCAATATTTTTATTCAAATTCAAAACAAAAGGACTATAATAAAAATATGCAATTCAGGCTACCTTGAGTACAGTGATTAACAAAAGGATTGAAATTCACTACCTTAGTAAAAGGTGGGAATTATGGGGGACAATATGATAAGACAATCGTCCCGGAAGGTTACATGAAGATTTAATACAATTTGGGGTAGTTTTTATAAAACAAGTTTTCTTAAAATAGATATTTTTAACCTGTCAGTATGGTCAATACACAAGTTGTAAGATAACTGTTTTTCCTTTCATAAGAAAAAATACTTTTTGGCTGTAAATAATTAGTCTTAATTTATGTGTTTTTTATTCCAATCTAATAAATAAATGGTCAAACGACATCGCACACATTTTATGGAAAATATAATGTCACACAAAGGACATAAAACTTACATGAATAGATTGGTCTTGTAAATCTTTGTTTATTGTCTCGGCCGTTAATGGATTATGTAGACACGCTGTATATCAAAATTAAACACCGTAGATATATATATTAAAATACCAAATATCTTACTTTTTTCGTGCCTTTCATTGCTTGTTATTGAAACCATTGCAATGTTCCGTGCAAAACTGTTGTAACTCTGTTTCATTAGAATTACAACAGTTTTGCACTGAACTTATGTACAAAAACGCAAAACAGTTAAACTGTTGTTGTTGTAATATTTAGCCGGTTAAGCATTTGAAAGTTACTAAAGTTTTACAGGGGATAAATATGCATGTTTACAATTGAATTCCATGATTACTTCATTTTCATAAAATTTTGAGTTATTGCAGTCTTGCACTGAGAGTGCGATATGTATTTGGTCTATAGTTGACCTCTTTGGTCAGAAATCACATGGCATTCACCAATTATTTCTTCCAAAAATGACTCAAGACAGTTATATATCATTTCTGAAAATATCTTGTAGACAACA